CTCCTTCCCAAGTCCTTCTGAGCACTGGCATTTTGGAGATTCTCCAAATACCGGTACAGAATGAGTGGGGGGGAAAGGAAAGACTTCAAGAAACAACGTAAAATGAAATGCAAGCAAACACACTTCCCCAAACCTGAACCACAACAGTGTCCTCTGACTGGCAGTGACAGGGGAGGCATCCAGAGTACAAAATACAACAGTAAGAAGGCCTCAGAGAGGCCACAGAGACATCTCAGGCCAGGTGTGGTGGTGCATGACTTCAATTCCAGCACTCAGGAAGCAGAGGTAGGCGGATCTCTGTGAGTTCAAGGCCAGCCTGGTCTACATAGTGAGTTCCGCTACAGGAAGCCCCTATCTCAAAAAGACGAAGAAAAAAAAAGAATGAACAAAAGGAAAAAAGGAAGGAAGGAAGGAAGGAAGGAAGGAAGGAAGGAAGGAAGGAAGGAAGGAAGGAAGGGAAAAAGAAATCTAATGCTTCAGGATTTGCATTACCATGGAGGCCAAGCAGGTGCCTAAGTGAGAAGTGCTTTCAGAACTTTAACACTGGCTTCAGAACCATGGCAACACTTTATCGCCTGAGACAGCTTTCAGTTCAATAGCATTGTCAGCATCCTTACTGCTGAGAAGCACATAGGTCACTTTTGTCCTAGAGACAATTTTAAAACTCTGTGTGTGTGTGTGTGTGCATGAGTTTACCTAGTTTTGGCATTTTGAAGATTTTTTATTTTTTTAAATTTATTATTTTTATTTTATGTGCATGAGTGTTTTGTCTGCATGTGTGTACCATGTGTATGCAATGTCCACTGAGGCCAGAAGAGGGCATCAGATTCCCTGGACCTGGAGTTACAAATAGTTGCTAGCTGCCACGTGAGTGCTAGAAACAGAAGTTGGGTCCTCTGCAAGAGCAGCCAATGCTCCTAACCACTGAGCATCTCTCCAGCCCCTAGTTTATGCATTTTAGGTTTCATAATAAAGCTAATTAAATGAATTTCCCCCAATGGGGGAGAACAAGAATACCTATGGAGAGGGTGGGGATGTAGTTCAGTAAATAGAACAACTGCATAGTATGTTCTAAACCCTGAGTTTGAGCTATATTACTGGGAAAAAAAGGAAGAATAAAAATCCAAATTTCATAAGCATACAGGAGGCTATGGGGCTTGGTGGTACCCACCTATAATCCCAGCACTTAGGAGGTGGATGAAGGAGTACAAGGTCATCCTCAACTACATACCACTCTGGGCAACATGAGAGCTGTTTCAAAAACACAAAACCAAACATCCACAAAAAGAAAACACCCAAAACTGACAATAAATAAAGCAGGATGCTGACAAAACTATTAAAAGTACAAGGATCACCAGCAAGATGGCCCAGCTGGCCACTAAGCCTGATGACCTGAATTCAATCCTTAAAACTTACATGTTGGGAAGAAGAAACTGACTCCCACAAATTGTCCTTTGACTTCCACTTGTGGGCCATGGTATACACACACACACACACACACACACACAGAGAGAGAGAGAGAGAGAGAGAGAGAGAGAGAGAGAGAGAGAGGCACAAAATACATATTTTTTAAGTACAATTAAAAAGCTTCTTAAGTACTGAGGGTATAGCTCCTTGGTAGAGCACCTAACAGGCAAAGGTGCTGGGTTCAATCCCCACCATCAAATATATAAATATATGAAAAAATAAGGAAAAAAATGGTTCCTTGGTACTGACTACCTCACACCAGGACAAGTCATAAAGAGGAAAAATTCTCTCTCTCTCTCTCTCTCTCTCTCTCTCTCTCTCTCTCTCTCAGTCCATTCTTGAACTTTCTATGTGACTGAAGATGACCTTGAACTCCTGATCCCCTGCCTCTGCTTCCTAAGTGCTGGGATTATATGCAATCACTACCATTCCTGGCAGAAAATTCACTTCTGGGAAATGGATTAATTGTAGAATACAGCAACATTTGGCTTCAGTCTTGAATCTCCGCCAGATCTACTTTCTGGCTCTGGCTCTGGGAGTCTTAATAGAAAATGCCTGCTTCAGCATCATAGGCATCCCGTACTGTGCATGGTCAGTGGTCCTGACAGTATGTCACATCTGATCAGTGTCATGATCTCAGAAATACAAAGAAGTGATGCCATCTAGATTCACTGCTAAAATCTGGGTGTACATGTTCACTGCATCATACTGTCATTCTCTGAAAATTCATTTCTTTCATTTGTTGCTGCTTGAGTTTTGTTTTGTTTTGTTTTGTGATGCAACTCTGGGCCTCATACCTGCTAGACAAATATTCTACCATCTCACTATACCTCCAGGCTGAGATTTTAAAATTTGACTACTAAAATGTTAAAACTGTGATAATTTAAAATTCTAATAAGTTTTCAGATTTTTTTTTCCTTTGGGAGGGGTGTTCTGGGGATTGAATCCCATCACTAGTGTTTGCTACTCCTTTTAAGAAATATTTTATTTATTATTTCTATTTTATGTGTATGAGTATATTATCTGCATCTGTATAAATGTACCCATATTGTGCAATGCCCGCAGATGTCAGAAGAAGGTGTTGGATCCCCTGGAACTGGAGTTACAGATGGTTGTTAGATGCCATGTTGGTGTGGGACTAGAACCTGGGTCCTCTGCAAGAGCAGCCAGTGCTCTTAACCACTGAGCCATCTCTCCAACACCACACACCCCCCCTTTTTTTTTGTCTTTTTGTCTTTTTGAGACAGGGTCTCCCTGTAGCCCCAGCTGTCCTGGAACTCACTAGGTAGACCAGGCTGTCCTGGAACTCACAGAGATCCACCTGCCTCTGCCTCCTGAGTACTGGGATTAAAGGCGTGTACCACCATGCCTGGCTAGATTTATTCTTATATTCTAGAAATTCACTCTATGTTTGACTTTGACTTTATATTGATATGCTGATTTATATACCCTGCTATTCAGCCAAAATGTGTAATATTGCTAACATCAGTTTTCATGCTAATTATCATCCTTTAAGACACTAATTTTCATAGGCAACAGTGACAAAATGAGAAACTATCGTATTCATGAAACAAACCCAAGGCCCTGATATATTCTCTTTCCAGAAGGTTCTAAGCCCAAGAGGAACATTTGTTTCCACCAACACCTGACCTAACACACATGATTTGGGGTAGAAGAGTTCTCCCTTATTGCCTCTACCACCAATCCCCAACAATCACTCTTCCAGACTGTGGCCTCTCAGCCTTCCACAAGTGAAAAAAGAATGTCAGACAAAGGTCCCTTGCATGGGAACACAGGGGCTGTGCAGTCCACAGAGCCCCAGGCAGGAGACAGTGACTCAGAGCCCAAACAGGTGAGTCATCTGTGGGCACAACTGTTAGCAGGAAAGCCCCCCAAAGCAATCCCATCCGTCACCTTCACTGAGTCCTAACACTGCTGGGGAAGTAGGAGCAGGCTTGTGTGGGGGCAGGAAAGCACCTTAGATGCTCTTTTATTTGAGAGAGCCCATTCTCCTGAGCTGTTGACATAAATGGTGTTATTTGCTAATCTTCAGCTGTGACTCATGACAAGAGGAATGATTCACCTTACTGAGGTCTCAGCTTTGGAGTAATGCAGAGATTTGGTCCGGCAGGCTTAGGAAGGGCTTCTCTAGTTGCTGATACTTTCCTCCGTGCCTTACCAGGGAAGAAGAGAATGCTAACCTTCCCTCCTGTCTTTCCCTATAAACATTTGCCTTTTCCAGCTATTTTCTGCAATGGCTAATTACAAGGCACAAAGGTAACAAGGCTGGAGTCATATGTAACTTTTCAATAATAAGTACCCAGAGACTTAATTAGAAAATTAGAAGTCAAGTTCTGGGCTGGAGAGATGGATCAATGGTTAAAAGCACTTGCTCTTCCAGAGGACCCAGGTTTACTTCCCACAACCCAGAGGCAGCTCACAACCTTCTGTAACTCTGGCTCCAAAGGATCTGACATCCTCTTCTGGCCTCCACAGGAATCAGGCATGCACATGGTGTGCATACATACATGCAGACAAACACTCATACACATAAAATAAAATCTTAAAAAGGTTTTAAAAAATGGCAACCACGTAAAGTTTGACTGGTCAGTTCTGATGGCTGGAAATATTACATAGGATTATTCTGGAGAAAGAACTTGTGACTGAAAGAGAAACACTAAAAAAGAGCTTAAATAACCTTATGCAATTCTAGTGTGAAACATTACAAAGTTCTAAAAGGCGGGGGAAGGGAAGGGGGGACACAGTGAATAAAGGTTCAAATCTTTAAATCTGTATAATTCCTTTTTTGGAATTCTTGGCCCACAGGACTTAGAAGACTTCAACTTGCTAAGTCCTAAGAAAATCAAAAAAGTATTATAGTTCTCATTTGGAAATTCATCCTGGGGATCTGTTGTATGATTATCAGATAGAGCCAGGCTGGAAGCAGCTCAAACCTCTCATAGCTTTCTAGTCAAATGATTTAGGGCTGAGGATGTAGCTCAATGGTAGAACACTTGCCTAGACTGTTCAAGGCCCTGAGTTCAATCCCCAGCACTGAATAATAATAATTATAATTGTCATTATTATTATTATTACACATCCAAGAAATGTATCCTTTGCCATTCCCTGAAATCTATACCTGCTTTTCAAGTTTGAGAAACTTGAGAGCTCTCATCGAAACACCAAAGCAGCAAGCCACAACTAGTCAAAACCTTGCATTGTTCTCCCCATCTTTGGACCTCAGAGGTCAGACCTCAGGGGCATCTCCACCTAACACTGGTGGCTCAGGCCAAGTGAACCATTCTTTATATAGGATGGTAGAGGTTGAGTCACAAGAACACCAGTCTAACAATAGATGCTCCCCACCTATGGATCATGGAGGAACAATTCATCTTACTGCTATCTGAGCTTTGGGGTAATGCAGAGATTTAGTCTAGCTGGTTGGGGAAATACTCCTCTAGTTGGTTAGGTGAGGGCAAGGAGGAAAGACAATGGGCTCCCTCAAGCCCTTCAGACTCCTTCTCACAGCTTACCTTGGTACAAGGTGGTTAAACTTGTAAGAACTGAAGACCTCCTGGATCTTCTCTTCTACTTTGGCCTGGTAAAAAGTCAGGACATGGAAGAGAGAAAACAAAATACAGATGAAACAGCTATCAACTTTTTCTTCCAAATGCCACAAATGCTTAATGACTGGAGTTGTTCAGTGTAGTTCTCTTCAAGACTAGATTCAGAGGTTCTAAGATGGGAATTGGCTAGGTAGTTTGCAGGCAGGGACCCCCCCCTCAAAAGCAGCAATTCCAGGAATGTCCTTGGTTCTCCAGCCAAGAATACCAGAAAAGGGGGCTGGAGAGATGGCTCAGCGGTTAAGAGCACTGACTGCTCTTGCAGAGGACCTGGGTTCGATTCCCAGCACCCACAAGGCGGCTGCAAACTGTCCTTAACTCCAGTTCCAGGGGAATCCAAAGCCCTCTTCTGACCTCTGCGGCACTGCACGACATGGGTGCACTCATGTACATGCAGGCAATACACTCATACACGTAAAATAAAAATAATAATAAAAAAAATTTTAAAAAAAAGAATACCAGAAAGGAGCCCTAGTTTTTCATCTCCTAAATGGATCTCCCTGCTGGAGACTACACATGAGGGTGGGAGCAAAACTCCAGCTCAGACACTAATCCCTTCTGGAGGACAGCTTTAGAATAGGATCTCTAGATTTTCATGGTGAAAGTAGGTCCTCTCTCTTCCCCAACTTCAGCCCATCTTCTACATGGCTTTTTTTTTTTTAATTTATTTACTAACAGCATAGGGTAGGGGTTTATTTACAGAAGAGTGGGTGCCCCACATTTACAGCTGCACTGTAAAGTCCACACTCAAATACAGATCCTGTGACCTCCCAACAGCCCCACAAAATGGTGAGAGAGGTGCCTCTTGGTGTTCTCGTCTTATATGTCGTTTGCCCTTCCCCCTTCTTCTATATGGTTTTAAGGTCATCTCTCTTTTTTTTTCCCCAGAGAAATATTTAAAGAAATATTTATTATTTAAGATTATGTTCAACACTCTTAGCCATCAGGAAAATGTGAATCAAGGCTGCCTTGAGATTTCTTCTTGCCCCAGTCAAAACGGTAAGGATAAACAAAACAAATGACAGCTGATGCTGGTACTGATGCGGGGATAGGGGAACATTTACTGCTGGCGGGAGTGCAAACTGCTGTGGGCACTGAGGAAATCAATGTGGAGGGATTTTTTTTTCTTTTTACTCTAAAGAAATTTGAATGTTTTTCCTATCTTTTAAAAACTGTAGTGATTATTGCTTTGTTTCAGAAATTTCTCAGAAATTATTTTTCCTCTATCATGGCTGTTCTTTTTTTTAATTTATTTTTTATATAGAGGGTTTTTGTTGTTTTGTTTTGTTTTATGTGTATGCATGTATTGCCTGCACATAGGTAAGTGCACCTGTGTCGTGCAATGCCCTCAGAGGTCAGAAGAGGCTGTCAGATCCCCTGGTACTAAAGTTACTGACAGTTATTAGCTACCATGTGGGTACTGGGTTTCGAACCTGGGTCTTCTGCAAGAACAACCAGTGTTCTTAACTGCTGAGCCATCTCTCCAGCCCCCATGGCTGTTCTTTATTATTCCTTTCATTGCATTCTCATTGCCCTGTGCAATACAGGGTAATGTCTGACTCCCTGTTTTTCTTTGTGCTTATTATGCTCCATGTACATATCCCTTGTGTGTGTGTGTGTGTGTGTGTGTGTGTGTGTGTGTGTGTTTTGCAGGGGACTCCAAAGCCAGGAATATGCTAGGTAATTTCTCTACCACTGAGCTGCATACACACCCCCAACATAATTTTATTTATTGTAGTCTATGTCTGCAGGCCTTTGGCCCTGTAGCTTCCTTCCCTTTTGTGTTTTTTTCTTTATATGGACTTAATGTCACCTTTCTCAGGTGTCATATTCCTATTTCAGACATTACCGAAAGCCAGATTAATTCAGTTATCAGGGCTCTGCTGAATCCCATTAGGGGAAAGATATTTCCTCCTAGTCAAAAGAATGGGATCTACTTCTGACTTTGGGTAAAGCTCTAACATTCCAAGCTACCCAAAACAAAAAAGAGTTAATCCAGCTGGACCTGTCAATCACATGGTGGAGACCAGCCCTCTGGAAAATTTATTCACCATAAACCATGCTAAGGAGGTGGGAGGAATAATTATCCATATTAGTAAGATAATGTGTTTTTCCTCCCCCAAATCCTCACTCTCTGCACAATCAGTTATGGAGCTGTGGCCATGGGCTCTGCTAAGGTCTTCCTGCCTTTATGAATTACTCCAAAAAAGCATAACTTTTCCTTTTTCCTCCTTTTTTTCTTTTTCTTTCTTTCAGATATTTTCCAAAGCCTGGACATGCTTTCCTGGATAACCTGGGCTTTCTCACTCTTCCTCTGAAGTATCCCCCTGAAACCCCGCTCCCATACACACACACTTCTGCCATGTGGCTGCTTGTCTGACCTCCATTGCTAACCTCCATGCATAACTCAAAAGCCACACTTTCTTTCTTCTTCTTCTTCACCATCTTTTTCCCCTGGAGAGCTGCTGAGATTTACAGTTTGCTGGCTCTAGGGGTTTTCTTCAACTTCAATAAAACAATCTAGTTTTCTTCTGAATCCATTCTTAAATTCTTTTCTTAATGAGACTAAGAACCCCAAAAGGAGACCCCAATTTCTAGTAGTATGTGGTATCCCAGAGAGAGCTCCCCAAAATTTCCAGTAATATTAGGAAAGGAGAGTGAGGGAGAGAAAGCAGGAGAGATAGTCCTGTTTATAAGGGGATATTGGTACCACATCAACACAAGTAACCTAATCCATGATATCCAAACTGTAACAATGGTTGCCCCTTTGCTGGCTGTCCTTGACTTTCCCTCCAAAACTTCTAAAGACAAGCCACACCTAAATGATTGAGATGTTAGCTGCTAATCTTTCTTTAGATTTACACAACTCAGAGCACTAGAGGACCTTCAGATAACATCTAAACTTACAATCGTTCCTCCTTATTTTTTTAATTCTGTGTACCAACTGGTGGGGACCTGGATGGCCCTGCAAAGATGGCACCGAGAGGAAGTAAGCAGGGTGCGGCCTGACTTGTTTCGAAGATCATTGGATGCCAGTCCTTCCGCACTCCTGGGCAGCGCGTGATCAGCGCATGATCATCATTGATGCCTATGGGACTCTGCTCCGGTGGCAGGTTGACCTTTAAGCTGATTGGCTGCATTCTGGGGAGGGGGTTTCCGAGGGGATTTCCAAACTTTGGTTTTTGCCTTTATAAGCTCTGTGACACCTGCAATAAATGAGCTCCTGCTTGACAAGACTCCCTGTCTCGTCTGACTGTCCTCAGTGTGGAGGGCTGGCAAAATGGGTGGACAGCACGCTCACCTTTCCCTGACCCTCATCCTGGCAGGTCCCTCCCGGGCGGGACCTTGGGGCAGATCCCCGCACCAACCAACACAAAGCATGTAAACTGCTATAAAGTTTAAGCTTCAGAAAAGTAATGTTTGTCCAAAGAATTATAGGAACTAGCCTTAGGAGATCAAGGTAGACATGCAAGACCCCGCCAAGCACATGACCTGTTCAATGCCCCCTAGACCTCCCTTCCTTCCCTCTAAAAGCCAATGTGAACTTCTGAGTTCACTAAAATGGTCTTTTTGAGCAGGACAATTAAATCTCATCTTCTCAGGGCACTTGAATAAAGCTGATTTCCTTTCTCTCAACACTAAGCTCCTAAGTATTGGTTTTCAAGCAGTGAGAACATCTTTGGTCCAGTAACAAAACTAATGCAGTTTGTAAGTTTATCTCCCTGACACCGTCACTTAGGGAGCAACTGAAGGCAACCTCTTGCTTCTGTAACACACCTGAATCTGTTACACCAAAATATGCCTCAGTGGCAGAGGTTTATTTTGTGCTGACCATTTTAAGGTACTGCAGAGTCAAGAGAAGCTCTGAAAACAAGAGGGTAAGTAGCTTTTTGTAAGAGAAATTCACATCTATGCAGGAAATGGTCATTTGTAAGAGTGTCTCACTCTGTTCTGTGAAGAGGAATAAATCACAAAAAAGCTCCAATCCAAGGAAAAGGCATCTCTTAAATCTGTATAATTTTTGTTTACTTTTCCATGTCTACTCCCCATAACTACCCTTCCTCCCATTCTTATTTGTTTTTAATGAAATATGTTATATAAACTGGTATTCTTAGACCATTTTCCCCCAGGTAGCTCCCATGTTTACATGACATATATGCTAATAAGTTTCTTTTGTTATAGGGATCCCAGACAAGAACTTAAAAGAGTAGAGGGAAAATCATTTTTCATCCCCTATTTTAAAAGATATACTTTCTTCTGTTTTTGTGGTGCTGGGCCTTGCACATGGCAGGCAAATACTCTACCAGTAAGCTATATTCCCAGGCGTAAAGGTTTATTCTTTCCTACTTTGTAAAGGTGTCTAGGTATTCTGTTAACTGGGCCACTCTCAAATACACAATTAGCTCCTGTCAAGGATTCTATTTGTTACCATCAGATTGACTATCTTAAATAAAAATAAAAATCATCTAGAAAGTTTACAAGAACATCAACTGCTGAAATACCAGTGATATAGAAAATCTGGTTCTATGTCACATATATATCTCCACAGTAGAAGCCAGATGTATCTGTCCTTTTAGAGGACCACACCATAATGTGTGGAAACACCAGATTTTGTTTGTTTTTCATTCATTTATTGGGCTCTTTCATTTAAAAAAAATTTAATGCGTATGAGTGTTTTGCCTGTACATACAGTAGTGTACCTGTGTCATACAATGCCTATGGAAGCCAGAAGGGCAAGTGTTTTGCCTGTACATACAGTGGTGTACCTGTGTCATGCAATGCCTGTGGAAGCCAGTAGAGGGCGTCAGATCCCCTAGAACTACAGTTGCTAGCCATTATGTGGGTGCTGGGAACTGAACTCAGGTTCTCTGCAAGAGTAGCTAGTGCTTTTAACCACTGGACCATCTCTCTAGCACCTAGATATTTTGGTGTTGTCTTTTTGAGACAGGGTCTCTCAGTAGCCCCAGCTGGCCTG